TGGTTGGGGTAGGTAGTGAAAATTGTAGTTTTTGATTTCTACTTTTAAATTTAATTTAATTTAAATTTTTTTTATTTAAATTTAAATTATAACCTGCGATAAAACTTCCTCTTCTAATCTGTTTTGTTTGATTTTATATAAATGTACAAGTACTCCTGGATAAGAATTTGCAGTGGATTCTATTTCATTCAATAATCCATACTTTGTTCAAACTTTTTTGGCGGCATATCTTTCGGAACGATAATAGTCGAAAATATCATAACAGCCGAATCTGAATCCCCTTTTCATCTTTCTCTCCATTTAATTCTTGTAAGCATTGAGTGAAAATAAAGTAGATCTTTTGCATTTAGTCCAAAAGGAGGGACCGGTGATTCATAGCGAGGACGATAACTTATAAGTGCTTGAGGAGAAGTATAAAATGTCTCACGCTTTTTAACGACGCCGACGTAACACAAGGGCAAGGGTCCTTATGTACTTTACTAACATTTCTTTAGAGATGACTTTCAATTTTAGACTCTACATAATATATTTAGTGCCTTGAAGAGAGGCAAGCTATATCCCACTCTGTTGCCGCACGTTTTTATTGAATATCAGTGAAACTGTGAAATTTAAATATTTTGGGTTGGTACTTTAGCCACTTCCACAGATTTACATTTTAATCTTGAAATTGAAACTGAACGTTTCTGTCAAATTTGTCAAAACATATATTAAGAAAATCCAATTTAAAAAGTGGTATTCAACACAGAGCAAAAATCAAAAATGATCGAATGTTATTACTTCCGGGAAGTAAATTGATAGTAGCAATAATCAATACCAGAATGTATGGCTGATTTTCTTGAAGAAAAACCTGAATTTCTATCTGTTACCGAAAATAATTGAAAAATATCTAAATGGATAACGAACCTTTTATAAAGACTTTTAGATGAAGAAAAAGTGTAATAGAGAGTTGATGTTACTAAAATATTAATAATATTAATATTTAGACCTTCCTAGAATGTGCAAAAAAAAAATTTATCAAGGCACCCAGTATATTACGCCATTAACAAAACCATCAGCGGATCGGAATTTTTTAATATTACGAAAACGATCAGTAAAAAATAAGAAAATGGGAACATCGAAGAGTATTCAAAGAATGTGGCAACAGCGAGATTGAAAACATTCATTTCCGTCTGCGATAAAACTTTCGGGACAATCAAATTATTCACCATATTGTGGTACGGGTAACAAACTGAGAACTGATAACAAGAGCCTTTAAATTGATTGACTAACTGACTTTTCTAAAATGCGAAAATTGAAATTGTTTTCAAAGTTTCTCGAATGCGATAATCGGCTATGTTTCTAACAAATCCCTACGCTGTGCTTCTGTAATGGTAATGACTTAAAAGGAAAGTTAGTTAAATGCGCATAACGTGTGTTTATCAACAGAGATTTACATCATTTTTGACGTTAACTTTTTCTTCTCAACTCCCTTCTTATACGTCTTACATTTAAGTTTTATCAAACATCGTTGTAATTGAATGAACTTGACGCGCTGAAAGTTATTCTCACAGTATTATCACAATTTTAATAAATTATTTCGAACAATTTTCTACTTGAAACTTTTTTCATTTATACAAGGTAATAGTATTTATATTCCTCGTCTAGTAAAATATAGTATTATGTACAGGGTTTCTGTCTTAGGGCTGTTAGTAGCTGTATCTCAAAAAGTATTTAGAGGAGAAATTAAAAAAAAAAACAGGTCGTCTTTTATATCCTATACATAACGTCATTCCTCCAAAACTATAATCGATACAATTTAGTATGACCCTTCACACAGTAGTCTGTGAAGGGTATTACAAGAAACCAAGGTCTTTAATATTCATCCAATTTAAAATTATTTTTTTTACTAAAATCCTTTAAACAAATTTTCAAAATGTCCGTCCGATATCATGTTTTTTGTCCGCACGATAAGTCAAAAACGAAAAATGATATGAACTAAATTTTCAGGAAAAATCAATCTCTAAAAGGGTACGAAGCCTATTGATTTTTAAAAAATCTGCTTAAAAATGGGGGGTTAAGGGGGGTTTTTTGTTTTTGATAAAAAAATGTGACATCGATCGGATGGACGGAACTAAACACATAATGCTTGTCACAGACTACTGAGTGAAGCAGGGTAGCCAGTTCTCCTGTAAATAGTTGGTAACAAGTTTGTTTGACCTCGACAGTGGCGCGCTGAGCGCGTTATGATGAACTATAATTCGGTACCGTCGGTAAAGTAGAAAAGTAGAAAGCGATTTAAAAAATGGCTGGCTTCAAAATTTATGAAATTTGAAGAAATTTCAAGTAACATTTTCCGATTTTACAGCTTTTACTTACAATAATTGAAACAATCACTAAGTAAAATGAATTTTTATTGTAAGTAAATGCTGAAAAACGGAAAATGTCACTTGTTTTAAATGAAAAATAAAAACATTTGTTATAAGTTTATTTTATTTAGAATAGGTAACTATGTCATTACATTATATTAAACATCATATTCACAATAAACACACAAAATGATTGCAGAATAAAAATGTAAGATAACAATGTGACAAATATTTTATTAACAATAAACTGGATACAATTTTCAAAAAACACAATGAACATTTTTAAATAACTAAAAACCACACATAACAGTCATACCTATAAATACCACAATTGTTTTAAATATCTCTAATAATAATAATATATAAATAAATTTTTGGGTGTTGGGTGTTCAGTGCCAGAGTTGCTAAAAAATTATTAATCAAAAGTAAGTTGAGATTAAAGTTTGAGGAAAATTTAAAAATAGTCATTTGACAAATAAGTATTTAATTTTGTCATGATCTACATAATTTTAAGGAATAGGTAACTTTGGCAAGTATGGAAATGATTTTAAAACAATATACGAAGACCAGTTGTTTTGAAATTTTATTGGTTAGGCAACTCTGGCACTGACCCACTTTACTATCCTTTTACCCATCTATTTCAGTCCATTGTAGTTGCAATATCCATTCCAAAAATCTCCATACTCAGGAATAACTAAAACAAACAAAAAATAAAGGCGCAGTGTGTATCTTAAAATTAAAAATTAACAGAGATATTACTTTTTTAAATTCTTAGAAATATCCTTATATTTTCTTACAATGGAAGGTACACAGATTTTCAATAATTTCAAAAAAAAAACATCTGATTTATGCTCTTGGCAAGTGAACCATGCAAACTTAACATGTTCGTGTAAATATAAAATTAGTTTTTGGTAGAATTTGATAAATACAATCATGAATAATACCCAAAAATTGAACGATTGCTTTTTTGCGCATAAATCAAACGTCTTTTTGCATCATATTCCTTTAAATGTGTAAAACTATGATGAGGTTCTACAATAAATTGCCCAAACACACTTCGCAATCAATTCCATTCATTTTTTGACTACAAATCCAGCTACATAAGTGGTAGCCTGAATATCAAAGTCAGTATTATGAAGTGAATTGACATTGAATTGTTTAATTTTAAGGCTAGCCAATTCATTTTCTTGGTCAGACAGTAGTGGTTGCGGTTCATCACTAAAAGTTAAAAATGAATTTAAATTGTCAACAAACTACTATCATCTGCCTCACAATTGGTGCTGTAATTTTTAGGTGTTATTAAACTATTTAAAACAGATGTTTTCAAAGCTAAAAGCAAGACAAATTTAATGAGCTTAGTAGGCAAAGTGCTGGTAGAGGCATTCTCGTCAAAATGATCCTCGCACAATAGTTTTGTTTAGGGAATATTTAAAATATCAAACCATTTCTCTCTAAGGGTAATAATGGACGGAAAAGTAAAAAAAATCTTATTAAGTGTATGTAAATAATATTTGTTTCTGCAATTTGGAGCAGCACATGACAATTCAAATTTATTATAAGTTAATGACATCGTTAAGGACCTCAGTATATTTTTACACCTATAACTTACTTAAATCTAACTAAAACTAAATTAAAAATAAGATTTATCGAATTTCACTCACCTACATTTTCCGCGACTGTCATGTTTTAGGTTTTAGTGTAACAACCTAATTTATTAGCAAAGCCAGATTTACACCACCTCATAATATTCAAATGTAGCTTTAACTTTATAAATTTATAACAATTATCCCTGTATTTGATCATTATATTGTATTAAAGTGATATTTAAAAGATTGCATTAGTAAAATTATTGATTTCTTTAAAATTTATTCATTTTTTAATTATTATATGGGTGTAAAAACGGCTTTTATTTAGTGCTCGCAGCGCGTGAAGCGCGATATGATAAACTACAAACAAGGAAACAATTCCCGCCTATTATTCAAACCTTCTCTTTTTAGTTTTTCTATGGAGTGAAGAGTTTAATAAGATATTCACAAAGTAACATTCGGTGCTTCCCCAAGCTGAGAATTTAAATTTTCACTGTGTCTAGATACACGTTAACGTGTACGAAAGTTATGAATTTGCGTACTCTAGTTAATAACAGACTTATTATTGTTATATACATGGTACATTTTTTGTCTTACTTAAATGTAACGATGTATGATAAACATTCATATCACGTTCATGTAATAATTTTAATACATTTTCAAACTATACTAATACATAATAATTTGTAAACAGTAATTTTTTATTCCAGCAAATTGTATTTTATGCATTATTTTTAATTTAAATAGCATTGCATTTTCGGAATTAATCCATCTTTAGATTTAACTAAGTTAGTTCAGTAGAAAATATAATTTCACTAAAATCTAATTACCCTATTATGTAATAGGTTGATGAAATGAGTAGAATAACAAGTATTTGTGTGAGCCGTGATGAAGCTTGTCGGTTAGGTCGGACATCAACTTACAAATAAAGGGAAGCGCTAATATATTGGTTTCATGTAGTGGGTATATAAGCGATGTACATACACCAACCATAGCATCGTTACTCTCCTCCAATTTGACTCGGCTAAAGCCTCTTAGATACTAATTAGTTTAACGATGGTTGTTTCAGTTCATCCGCTGATTCAAGTTCGAAATCAGTTAGTGGGAACCCCTATAAACACGGACGTCACCCTACAGTGTCACGTCGAGGCGTCCCCAAAAGCAATCAACTACTGGACCAGAGAGAGTGGTGAGTAGAGAAGTCTCAGCTCCTCAGACGAGAATACTTGAGGATGCGCTGACCGGCACTTAGTCAGTGCCTCTGCCACCGGTTGGCTCTCGAGACCAAATCCCAACTTGGGTCTTCACTTTACATTAGCTATCAAACCGTGCTTTATTTATTATTCACTTTTAATGCATATACTGCATGTATACATTATTTCTACTGATCGATACACGGACAGAGTTGAAAGTTTCTGGAATTACAGTGCTTAATCATATTCTGAAATAAACCGATGCTGCACAAGAGTTCTTTTAACTCTCAAACTCGTCCATTCCCGCTGAAATTTAAATATATAGGGTGATTTTAAAGGTCGATCTTTTTCTTTTAAATCGTATATCATTGAGTAGTCAGCTACTTTTTTCGCCACATCTATTTTATATTTTTTTGTCTTAAGTTTTCACTGACTTCTGCCATTGATCTGGTATAACGAATGTTCAATAAGTTTTGGGTTAAACTCAATAATATGGTGCTACACATTTTGTTTGCATGATTTTCTAACAACTATCAACAAATTATTTAAACAGCTATTAAAACGAGAAATGGGTAACATCTTTCAAGAACAGGATACGAGTACCTCAAAAACTACAACAACATCAAAAACAATAAATAAGTCTGAATAAGAATAATTTCTTGACCGTAACAGAATTTTATATAAATAAAAATTTTCCTTAGTTTATTCGGTCGTTTTTATTTTCTATTATTTAGCACAGCACTACATATGTTCCGGAAAACTTTTCCATCTTCAGGTGCAGTCAAAATTTAATAAATTATTAAATTTTTCCGAAATATATGTAGTGCTGTGCCAAATAATGGAAAATAAAAACGACCGAATAAACCTAGGAAATTTTTTATTTATATAAAATAAATAAGTCATAATTAAAAAAAAAAAAATATTTTGACCGATCTATCGTTCAAACACTGATGCAAGCAGTCAGGCAAATACTACGTGTGATTGAAAGTCAACCCAAGAACCTCTATTATAATTACTAAACCTAAGGATCACCTGTCATTTTTATTTTGTTTCCCCAAAACTTATTTAATTTGTGTTCTGCTCAGAAAAGTCTGCTTCCATTTATTTATCTTTTAATTATATTGGAGATATCATACTAATATCATTATTTTCATCAATTCTATAACTGAAACTGCTCTGAAAACCCATCGGATGGTCCCGAGAGTTAACCATGTATTCTAATATGTGATAAGATATTAATGTATAATTTTATTATATTTTAGGGGAGATGATAATAACGAACGATAAATATCATATGACAGAAATCTCCAATTCATACTACAGTGTTCAGATGAAACTAGTTATAAGAAGATTCCACAAGTCTGATCTTGGGGGATATAAATGTATATCAAAAAATTCCATAGGAGATGCCGAAGGCAATATTAGACTTTATGGTAAGTAAGCATTTTTCATTATATTTTCTTCTTCTATTTTAGTTCTATTTCTCTATTGAATCTAAGTAAATTACATGTATAAAAAAACTACTAACTGTATTAATCACATTCTTCTTTAAATCCAATTTCTGTAACCATGCATTCCTTTTTATACAGTTTAATAAAAAAAAACAATGTTTCGATGTTCTGTTTTCCCTTCGATAAAGATGCAGCTGGCGTAAAATTGTTGCAAGATTTTCCATATGGAAAGCGAGCTTTTTTTAGAGGTTCCTTGAAAGACATTCTCAAACGGAGCTTGTTCGATTTCGTTTGTCGTTTATATTATTTGAATAAGTTGTTTATTGAATTGTTAACCTGAAAAGAAGTTTATCTCGATATACGAAAAAGAGGAAAAGTGCGAATGACTCCTATAAAAATAAAAAGAGAACCTCTGGCTTGGAACATTTAATGGTAATATTCAAGATCGGAGGGTAACTTTTTGTCACCCTAGACCCTGGGGAATTTATAAAACTGCATCTGTGTGCAGGACTGTCTCTAACAAAATCACCTAAATTTTTAAAATATTTGAAATCATTATTTTCCAAGAAATTATTTATCCTGCATGGTACATTTTAATTCTCAATTACACAATGCGTCTAGATTAGATTTAGATTTAATTAGGACTGTGGGCCATGTCAGCTCCGTCACCTCGACCTTTTTAGATCTATTGTGGATATACTTTAATCGCTGTTTAGGGTTTGGTCTTTTGTAGTAAGCTACATAAACTAGGAAGTAGCGTATCTAGTTGCCATTAGTTTTACTTCTCCCAGTATAAGGAATCTCAGTCTTGATACTTTCACAGTAGCACAAAACGTGTACTGCAGTTTCCTCCTCTTTCTGGCAGAATCGACACAAAGTATCTTCTGCCAGACCAATTTTATACATATATTTAAGTCTACAATATCCTACTAGTATTAAAATATGTTTCCTATTGTGGCTTAGTAAATGCTTGGTGAATTTTGGTGATGGTCCTTTTAAAAACTCTCTGGCCTGTCTCTATTCTGGTGAATTTTCCACCATTCCTGGGATTTTTTAACATCCATTACTCTATTTATATTCTGATAGCTGTCTTTGTGACACCGCAGAAGAGTTTTTGGGCTAATAAGAGCCTTTGAGGCTTCTTCTAGGGATAATAAATCAGACTCTTCTTCATTGCCCTGATGTCCTTTGTGGCCTGAGATCCAGGCTAAGGTCTGTTTTGATTACCTAGTTCTATTAAGGCTTCCAAAGAGTCCCATACAAGCAGTGTCCATGCATGGAACTTAATGCATTCGCCAACGTAAAGAGGAGACATAAGATCCAAAGTTTTGAAACGATAGATATTCGACCAATAAATTATGAAAATTAGTAAACTATAAACAGTCCAATTCTTTGAAACATTTGCTAAATCTTTCCAGGGAATAAATATTAAAAATTGAAAGTGAACCCCTGTATTTTAAAGAAGTCCAAGAATGGAGATATTTTTAATACGATTTAAGATAAATAAACATACACTTTACTTTTGAGTAGATCTATTAATTTGATTTTATTCGCTACTCCTCGTAAACACGCTGTCCTGATTTAAATCAATGCCGATCCTGGTAATATATGTATTGGTTTTCGAGGAAAAGATTGTACAATACACAAAGCAGCAATAAGTGAATTTTAGCAATTTTTATAAAAAAAAAGAATCAATTTCATTTTATTGTCGTCGATTTCAGCAGAACTCTCATCAACATTTCATAGTTCGAAAGCCGTAAATCAGAGAGTAAGTGGAACTCCAATCTCGACTTTTGCAAACAACACGTTAGTATGGTTCATATATTTACGGGGGGAAATACATTGTTAGTCGGTCAACTTAAAATTGATAGGTGCTCGCTAAAATTTGTCCATAAATTATCTTGGAACATAACGGTGAACATTATGAACCTAATAGCTCCCAAAATAAAGCTTTTGTTTATTTTTATAAAAAGGATTTTAGGATTTGAATTTGCTTGAAAATAAGCGTACAGCTAGAGGACAGTTCGTAGAGCCCAAAAATGAAATCAGTTCTTTAATACCTCAAGCCATTTTCGAATTATTTGTGAAAAAATAAATTCTATTGCACTCCGAAATTTCTCTTGCTTTCTTTAATATGTACCTGAATTTCCAATCCCACATCGGCACTATATAACTTTTCTTCCTTAAAATATTCTTTAATTATTGTCCACATTTCACGTCAATCCATTTAGTCTAAAGGAATTTTGCTTCAAACACTGTACTAATAAGAATGTATTTTTGTTTGCATTGCTTATATATGACAATTTTTGTTTCAGAAGTAGAAATACCAGAACGTGAAGTAGCAGGAGAGACTGAACAAAATTCAGAAGAAAACAGCGAATTAGAAGAACGTCTATACAACGGCTTCCAAGGCCCATTCAATGAAAACGAACAAAATATCTTGCCCTTGAATGTCAGTTCAACGTGTACTCTATCAAAATTCCACAGGTTATACCCTGCACTACTGATATTGCTTCAATTGTACTAAAAAGGGCAATTGCGAGGACACAGTTTATAATTATGTGATATGTGCCAAATTTACATGTGCTTCGCTACTACCTATATCGCTGTGTGTTACGTACCTATTTTAAAGAGTTTAGTGATTTTAAAATGAATAAACCAAAACTCGGGTAAATCCTAGGTATATTCCAAATATATGCTATATTGGTGGGTACAGTGAGACTAATTCCCATTAATATATTTTTACGTAATTATAAGTATGATTTTCATTTCACTATTTTTTTTTATTAAATTACATTCCTATATTTTTAATATAGTTAGGATTGTGCTTATTTCTGGAGCCATTTAAAATTACTAGTTCTTTCTTTTTTAAATTAATTTAAAAAATACCCAGGGTGTCCCAGTCAAAATTGTTACCTCTTAATCTGCAACTCATCCACTAGAATAATTAATTATAAAACTTGTCAAGATGCTCTAGAGTTGGTTATGGGGCTCCTTAAAATACTTTTCCAAATCAACAGAGAAACAACGGTTTTGTCCGTCCAATGCTAAAAAAAGAACGAATACGTACATCGAACGAAACTGAGGTTAGATTTTGTAACTCGTATTTGAACAACACAACTTAAATTTTTACGCATCTGTATGTAAGAGTTATAAGGAAGTAATTAAATAGTAAAGGGGCGATGAAAGGCTTGCGGTTGTAGGTCGCCACTCTAGGACAACTTTTATTTATTCTGAATTTCTTGACCTACGACCGCGCGCTTTTAATCGCATCTTACTCATACAGTATTCACATTAAAAATACACTATCTGGGGAACGTAGACTAAATTTCTAATTGTTAGGAATCATTTTTTCTAATCGTTTTTTAAGAGAATTTATAAGTGACAAAATAGGGGTAATTTTGGTGAAATTACAAACACCAGCCGATTTTGAGCGCTCATCTTCCCCTAAGTGTCAAGTTATTGACTCGAACA